GGAATCGACATTCATCTGAGTAAAGGAGATTCCCAAGTAAGGGATATGAGAAGCGATGTCACAGTGTCGTGTTTTCCCATTTCTCTGAGCTGGTAGATTTTCCACAGCCTCTTATCCAGCCTTCTTATGGCTTTTCCAATGTAGATCTTGTCGTAGCCATGGTACTCAATCTTCTAAACCACGTTCATTTGTTTTTTCTTCTTCAGTTGATGAAGTTCCTGGTAGATCTGTTGTCCCAATGAATCGCAGATTTTGTAGTAGATTTGAAAACCTTATTTCCCCAGGTACGTTTAATCTGATTTGAGATCTGAAGCTGTTGAGAATTTGCAGTTCGTTTATTTGTCGACTGAAATGCAAGCAAAATTAATCGATGCGTGCTTAGGTACCTGCATTTAAAGCAGAACTTCCTGGATCAAATTCCGTACGGGGCGATCTCGTCGTTGAAGCAGTTGGCGGTTCTTGACCTGGAGAGCAACAACATCACGGAGCTGCAGCGGTACGCGGACGCCACGTTCAGCCAAAACATTACCCTGAATCTGAGCAGCAACAGAATCACTGCCCTTCCGGCCGGCTGTCTGTCGCCCTATATGCGCATCGTGGCTTTGGATTTGTCCTACAACCAGATAGGAACCCTGCATACGAACTTTTTGGATGGCGTTCAGTCGATGCAGTCACTCGATCTGTCTTACAACCGGCTGCAGTTTATCCCGGTCAATTCCCTGTTCGGCGTGGCCGATTCTCTGAAACACCTCAATCTGGAGGAGAATCAGTTGACCACGCTGCCAGAAGCGCTGATGGCTTTGAAAGTGCTTGAGTCGCTGAACCTCAAGTGGAACAAGCTGATAACGCCGCATAAGGATATCCTCGCCGGCCTGAAGTTTAGCATGAAGGAGTTGTCGCTGAGTCACAACTACCTCGACAAGATCCCTACCGAGCTGTTGGAAGGTTTCAAGAGCATAGAGACACTCGATCTGTCAAAGAATCATATTACCACGTTGAAAAAGCTGGCATTCGGTAAATTCGACGGCATCGGAGCTAACCTCGTTAAGCTGAACCTGGCTGGCAACAAAATTCAGTCTTTGTCAGAGCCGGGAGCTTTTCTATACATGTCTGGCTTGGTGTACCTGGACCTCTCGTACAATTGCATCAACTACGTGGCCCCGGACTTTTTTAACTTGTTGCCCGGGCTAGAGAGCCTGTCGCTGCAGAACAACCGGATATCGACTATACCATCGCAGACACTCGTCGCCCTCACGAAACTGCGCTACCTGATTCTGGACGGTAACGAGATAGATACCTTCACCCCCAGTTCTTTCCTGCACATGCAAAATCTCGAACGACTGAGTGCCAGCCATAACAACATCGTTGCCGTGTCGTACAACGTTTTCCCGGGCAATCACTTGTTGAAGCTTAGATCGATTAATCTTGCCTTCAACATGATCCACTCCTTGTATACCAGGTCGTTCAGCGATCTGAATGCCCTGGAAGTGGCCGATCTCAGGAACAACTTTATTACCGTCCTCCATGTCCACACTTTCATAAATTTACCCTCTCTTCGCTTCGTGTATCTGGATCGCAACAGGATCAGCACTACTAGCGAAGAAACGTTTGTTAACATTCCGCGGCTGGAGTTGCTGTCGTTGAAGCACAACCGTATTTCCTCGTTGCCTCAACGGTTCCTCATAGATGTATCGAATTTAAAGTCGGTCGATCTGAGTTACAACAACTTGAGAAATTTCGATGCCACTTTTCTGTCAGGTGCCACATCACTGCAATTTCTCGATTTGTCGTACAACAACCTCGGGGATATCGACTTGGCTGTGATAAAGCATTCTATCGTACATATTTGTTTAAGCCACAATCGCATTGCTAGCCTTAAGGAAAAGAATTTTGGCGAATTCCCGTCGCTAACTTATTTGGACCTCAGTCATAACCGCATCATCAAAGTCCATGCGACCTCGTTTTTAGCCAGTCCAAATTTGAACAAGATTTTTTTGTCGTACAATAATGTGACCACTGTTTCCAAAAATACTTTTGCAACTCAGAAGAACTTCGCCTGTCTCGATCTGAGCCACAATCTGATTGAAGAACTGGATATGGCAGTATTTGGGGAGAACAACGTGATGGCGCTGAATCTGTCATTCAACAACTTCCGGGCAGTGCCTTACGCGATGCTACACAACGTGCAAAAAAGTCTTGGAGCACTGGACCTTGGCAACAATCGAATTGCCACTTTGGAATCGAACTTTTTCGACGGACTTCGAAATCTGACTCACATGTGCCTCCGTTCAAATGCAATTCAGAAAGTATCCGAGTCAGCTTTCAAGGGTCTTCACAAGCTGCGATCGCTAGACCTGAGTCACAATCCTGTTAACGAGTGGAATCCGAACTCGTTCCGAGACATAGGCCATTCGGTTGAGGCGATCGATCTGGCTAACACTGGTCTGTTTACGGTGCCAAAGCTTGGAGGTCGAGCCATTAAAATGCTCAACCTCTCCCTGAACCATATTTTCATGCTCAATGCCGATGATCTGCCAAGCTTCCAGAAGCTGGAAAATCTGGATGTCAGTTACAACCAGCTAAGGTTTCTGTCGCACGACGTCCTGGGTCGTCTGATGAACCTCAAATCTCTGAACGTCAGTCATAACCCGCTGCAAAAAGTGACTGCCAATCAGTTCGACGGGCTTCGAAAATTGGAAACGCTCGAGATGCACCACATGCCGGACTTGAACCAGGTTGACGTGACCGCCTTTCGGTCATTTCGGAACCTCAAGGAACTGAAGCTATTCCGACTGTCCGAGATGCAACATTCGATCGATGTCCAGCGGCTGCTGGCTCTGCTGCCGCCGTTGAAAACCCTACACATCGAGGTGACGAACGAGAGCGTCGACCAGCAGTTCTGCAATTTTGATGCTCGTTTCCTTCGAGACCTGCGTGTCGAGGGCAGACAAATTAAGCGACTGGCTACCGACGCGTTCCGCAACCTCCGCGGCTATAAGATGCACCTGTCACTTGCCAACACGAAGGTCAGCCGTTTCCCCGCTCAGGTGTTTTCGTTGCTGAACCACATTACGTTCTTGGAACTCGATCTGTCGGACAACTATCTGGAAACGCTTCAGCCGTTCCTGTTTTCCACGCCACCGTTGGTCAACGGCCACGGAACCATGCTTGTACGCCTGAATGTGGCCGGAAATCCGTTGCTTTGCGATTGCCGGCTAAATTGGGTCAAGCCGTGGTTCGAGCACCTTCGCATGCTGCTCTCCTCGGAAGAATTTGATGCGCAAGAGAGAGCGTTCAACGACACCGTGTGCCATTCCGTCTCGAACTCCAGAAACATTCCGCTGTTCAAATATATTCAGTCAATGCGCTGCCTCGCTCTCCGCGGATATGTGACTCCCGCGCTATTGTTTACCTGTATACTTCGAGCGCTTTTGTCTCATTTTGAATAAAATGATGAGCCTGGCACGATGCCATGCACAAATACCATAGATAAATCAGTAATATGTTACATGCAAGTACTTATGACAAAAACTATGACTGTATGTTTCGTATATACAGTGCACATATATATATGTGTGTGTGTGTGTGTGTGTGTGTGTGCATTGAACGATTAATCTGAACATTCTGATTGATTTCTTTTTGTAAGCAACGAAGATCAACAATTTAATGCTTGCAGCTCCTTGGATCCCAATTCAGTATCGCTGAGGTTCATCCGGCATCTGGGAGTCTTGCGATGTGACCAATTCGTTTTCAGTTTCCTTTCTTTCGAAACCGACGTAGCTTCCTGCATTTCCTTGCGTTTACATTTTGCGACTGTACTCATTGCAGCATAAAACGCTTTTCAATAAATATTTCTGTCTCGTTACTATATGTCGCTGCTGACCATATGTGACTTCTACACTACATAATTCTAACGTCAGTTATTAATTTTCTGTTTTTGAAAATGTCAGCATTACTTCCGTAAGTTCGCCATACGCATGACACTTGCTAGTGAGTTCTCTACCCAAGAAATGGTCTGAAACGATTAGCTAGGGCAAGTGCACACTCGGAGCAATAGTTTATTCGGTGATTAATGATAGTCATTGAATTCGTTTCTCGCCAACTTCGCTTTGTTAATTCAAAGCTCACATACCATGACTTCTACTTCATTTGCTTTCGTCCTCAACAGCAAGTCGTCGTCATCAAATCGAACACGAGTGAGCCGTCTACCGTTGACTGACTACCTAAGGAAGATTCCTTCGAGCTTCACCGAATCATATCCCTTTTCAGTGTCTACTAGGATCATATCTACGAATCATTTACTAACGTTTTATTAAAGCCGACTAATGAAGTAATTGCCTACGCATTTCTGTCATATATCAGAGAATAACCAGAATCACTGCACGGTGCTAATTCAGGAAGAGTCTCGCGCTGAATCACATACATGAGTGATTCATGCTTTGCTAACATTTTAATGTCTCTTTCGCTTTTTCCCTCTGAATGATAAACGTCTGTTGCCGCGCATTTTTCTTAGTCACAGGAATTCATCGATTCGGCATAGCGGCTTTTGGTAACTAATTACCATCACTTGCATCTACCCGTTCGTCCTCGGTAGGTAGTAAGAGAAAATTTGAGATTTGTATGAAGAACTTAAACCTAATGGATCTTTTGATTCCATGGTTGGTAGAATTTAAAATACGACAGTTTCATCTTAATCATTTAAGTGCTGCCTTTTGCGGCGATTAAACCAACCTCTCATCATCCGCTCTGAGCACAGAAATCAACTGTTCCGCTTCCTACTTATGAGCTTCCTTCCTTCCGTCCAGTACTGATGCTGTAACTTGTGCAGAAGTAGAGGAAGTAGCATAGCTACATTCTTCTTTTTCATTGTATTGTAAATGCATTGCAATTGCTATCGGCAGTAACTATGATAAAATATGTAATTTTCACTGAAGTTCTTTAAATATTACATGAACAAATGAGGACAGTCACCAAAATCTTGCCAAGGACATATTCCGAACAGAAACCGAGATAGGCACGGCCATGATTCCTTGTTGGGTCAAGGTCTAACGTTTCTTTGGGTTGAACATGGATTGCAGAGCGTAACTGAGCAAGTTTATGTGTGCGCTAGCTGCGAAAATGAATGGCTGACTCTGTTAATGCACGAAAGGATTATGGGATAGCGAATGTGCGTTTTTTAATTGAGCATAATTTCATAATTTTCTACCCGATTTCAAGTTCAATCGAGAAATTCAACGTTTTCTTCCATGAAGTTTGCAGTTAACTTGTGCTTCACTTCGTCGTTTGCTGAGTCCGAGATTTTAGCCGATAAACTTATGGATTAAAGTTGCTGAGCTTAGAATCCTCGCAAAAGTCTGTAAACACCACCGAAAAGCTGTTATTTCACCCTGAACCGCTGTACAATTGTTCAGACACTGATCTTAGTTCGCTTGTCTGTGGCTTGGTTTGTCTTCATTCTCATTTTCAATTATTCGCTACG